CTGTAAGTGTAAAGCACTTTAGAGTCTGACAGATCTTGATAAAGTTTTATTTAAATTCAAGGCATTTACAACAGATTTTTATCAAAAAGTTGGAATGTTTTAGTTAAATATATATTTTATAACTTCAGCTGTCTGTTCTGAGTTTTATTGCAGATATTTAATAAATGTTTGCTGTTTTAACGGCATCAGTTGAAATTTGTGAAGAATTTTTAACAGTTTTTACTGATAAAGTCTCAGACCTTAGAGGATCTGTCAGTGTCCCTCCATCAGGTTTTTCATAAAAACCACAGCGTTCAGCTTGATCAGTTTGAACCTGTATCTTTATCCCATTTATCTGATATTGTTTATCTTTAACACAGACTAACCCTTTGGATTACACCTGCTTGATTATTTAAAGATGTTTTTGCCACTATTGGGTCATTTATCCTTGTTTTGATAAATGTGTTGTGTACCAGCTGCTTTTAAAACAGCTGTGGTTCAGCCTCTTTTTAAAAAAACTGACTTGGACCCTAGCGTTTATGCAAATTTCAGACCTATCTCTAAATTGCCTTTCCTTTCTAAGGTGCTTGAAAAGACAGTGTACATCCAACAATCTTTTCTTATTGATAATTACATTAACAAGAAATTTCAGTCTGGGTTAAAGCTGGCCACAGCACTGAAACAGCCTTACTCAGAGTTTTTAACGGACTCAGCGGATGTTGCTGCCTTGTTGTTATTAGATTTAAGTGCAACGCTCGATACCTTAGATCATGGCGTCCTCTGTGTTGGTCTTAGGGGTACAGTTCTGGCATGGTTCAAGTCATTTATGACAGACAGGAGCTACTCTGTTCATTTAGATCACTGTTCCTCTGCCAAAGCACCTTTAAAGTATGGAGTCCCTCAGGGTTCAGTTCTGGGCCCTGTTTTGTTTTCACTGTATACTTTGCCTCTTGGACACATTTTTAGAAAGTTTAATATTTCATTCCATTTTTTGCAGATGATGTACAGATTTATTTGCCTTTAATGGGGAAAAATAAGGATAATTATTTACAGTCTCTATTAGACTGTTTAGGTGAAGTGAGATCATGGATGGACTCAAACATTCTCCATTTGAATGATAACAAAACTCAAGTCATTTTATTTAGACAGAAAAATACTGGAAGTGACTCTGATGCAATCCTTGGATCTTTATCTCCATTTTATCAGACAGCTGTTAGAAACCTTGGTGTTGTCTTTGACAGCCGTTTGAAACTGGATAAGCAAGTGAATTCAGTTGTCAAATCAGGCTTTTTCTATTTACGCCTTTTAGCCAAGAGTCCTATTTTTGTTTTAGAGGTTTTGAGAAAATGATTCATGCTTTCATCACAACATGATTGGATTACTGTGATTCATTGTATAAGGGCACAGATCAGTCCTCCCTGTATCGTCTCCAAATGATTCAAAATGCTGCAGCCTGACTTTTAACTGGTTCACAGAAACATGAGCATCTAACTGTGCTGCTTCATTACACTGCTTACCTGTATCTTATAGAATTGATTTTAAGATTTTATTGTTAGTTTTTAAAGTTTTAAACGGCCTTGCTCCAACCTATCTTCATGATCTTTTGCATGTTCACTCTTCATCTGGAACATTGAGGTCGAACAACCTGATGCTTCTAGATGTTCACAGATCCAGATTTAGGAGAAGAGGTGATTTGCTGTGTCTGCTCCCAAACTATGGAACAACGTTCACATTAGATCTGCTCATAGCTTGGAAAACTTCAAAGTGCTTCTTAAGACTCTCTTTTATTCAAGGGTGTTTAATGAAATTAAGATCGGTCATCGTAATTTATCTGTTCTTACTATTGTTTGTTGTCATTTGTTWTGTATTTTAGCACTTTTTGTGATTCAGTGATATTTGTGGATTGCTGTGCAGCACTTTGGTGCAGCTTTTAGCTGTTTTTAAAAGCGCTTTATAAATAAAGTTGACACTGACATTGTTTTTCTGAGTGTAAATTCATGATAACATTTATATTTTGTTTCATAAAATGTTTAATACTTAACTATGACTTTAACTCAAGCTTAGACTGAGATGTGAGGTGTGAGAACCCCCCAGGATCCAGTACGGCACACAGACTGTGTGTAAACAGGTGTGTCATCAGAACCTGAGAGCAGCGAGGTGAACCAAGCTCATGAAACCACAGCTGAAGATGTTCAGAGATGCTGAGCGGAGATAAGAACCTCAGCCGTGTGGTTTGACGGGGGCGGAGCACAACTTCTCTCTGCAGCGCAGACCGCCATCCAGACTCTGAACTCTGGTTCTGGTTCCAGAACCCGGGGAACAGGTTCTGAAGTTGCTCCTACAGTCTCAGGAGTAAAAACTCCCCGAAATGAAGATTGATTTAAAAGGAGTGAAGAACATTTATTTTTACTGAAGCCAACTGTATAAACCTGTAGGTTCTGGACCGACTGTATACAGGTGCTGGTCATAAAATTAGAATATCATGAAAAAGTAGATTTATTTCAGTAATTCCATTTAAAAAGTGAAACTTGTATATTATATTCATACATTACATACAAACTCATATATTTCAAATGTTTATTTCGTTTAATTTTGATG